CAGCCAGCAGAGAGGGATTTGGCTGAAGCACAGCTGCAGCAGGACAGCCTTGAGGTTTCTGGTTGGAAAGCACGCAGCTGCAGATGATTAGTTTTGAGGAGGAACTGCTTTCTGCACTTATCCGAGAACAGGTAGGGCAGGGAAAAGGCAGGAGCAGCAAAGGGCAGCTCTTTTACTCACAAGAAGGCAGTCTCATCCTTCTTGATGGGCTGGACCAGAAGCTGGCTATTTAGCACAGCAGACAGATGGAGGTGATTCTGAGAACAATGTGTTCATGAGTAAGAGCTTGGAGTAGAATACCTCCAAAGTCCCTTCCAACGCTTGGTATTCTGTTCTGTTATTCTATCTGCATATAGACGGACGGCGATGGACGGCGGAATCAGCTCCAGCGGTGAAGACCTGCGAGGAGCCACGTTCCCGAGAGGAATTTTCTGCGTCTTGTTATTGTTGTTGATTTTGTAATTGTTATTGTTGATTTTGTAATTGTTTCTGTTGTTGTATTTGTTCTTGTTGTTGTTCTAGTTATTGTTCAGAGAATAAAACTAAAACAGACTTTATATATACTAATTTAGTTTAGGCCTATTTTCATTACACTTTTGTTAGGAATAGGGTGAACTTTTGAATAAATGCAGAATTTCAACAAAATTCTTTGTTTTGTCCCATTTTTTCCCACTGTTCTATGGGATACAGTGAATTAGTATTCAGTTACAATATTAATGGAAACCTGACACTTCTAGAGGTTCCTCAGCTACATACAGGTAGTCCTCAACTTACCGCAATTGATCCCCAAATATATGTTGCTAAATGGAACGTTTGTTAAGTGACTTTTGCCTCATTTTACAACGTTTCTTGCCACAGTTGTTAAGTAGATCACTGCAGCTGTTAAGATAGTAACACAGTTGTTAAGAGAATCTGGTTTCCCCATTGCTTTAGGTTGTCAGAAGGACGCAAAAGCTAATCACATGACCCCTGGACACTGCTACTGTCATAAACATGAGTCAGTTGCCAAGCATCTGAATATTGATCATGTGACCATGGGGTTCTGCAATGGACGAAAGTGTGAAAAAAGTTCTTAAGGAATTTTACAGAACAATACCCAACTTATAGTGGCTAAGAGACCATAATTTCTTGCAAGTCATGCTAGGTTGTTGCTACAATGCATACACAAGCAAAATATGTATATAAGATACACAAATGGGATAGCTAAAATGGAAGGGAAAGTATATGTCCTAACTCACTGATGGCGAATCTTTAAGAGACCAAGTGCCCAAACTGAAACCCAAAACCCACTTATGTATTGTCAGGTACCGGGTGGGTATGACCCATTGGGTGAGTGTGGCCAGTTGGGTGGGCATAGCCCATTGGGTGGGCGTGGCGGCGGTGGTAACGGCAGACTGGGTGGGACTAAAAAGTTCAATCAATTCCAACTTTGCAAGATTTTTTTCCCCATGAGAAGTTGAAATTGATTGATTGATTGAACCTTTTTCTCTTTTTTTCCACATGGCGGCGGAGGCCTAAAGCGAAAAGGTTTTATAAAACCCAGCTGAAGGCCTAGGACTGGGGCAATGGCACGTGTGCCCACAGGGAGGGCTCTGTGTGCCCTAACTTAGGGTTAGGGTTACATCACCATGTACTCGGAGAGCAAAATGGACATCGCCAACAAATTTGGAGTGCTTGGATATGGTTAGGAGGGCATTGACTTTTCTAGCCTGCCCTATCTATCTTTCCTGGTAAAACACATGGGAAAATCTCATTGGAACAAAATTCCACTTAAGGTTAGGGTTAGGCCACCATGAACTCGGAGAGCAAAATGGACATTGCCAACAAAATCAGAATACTTGGGTATGGTTAGGAGGGCACTGACTTTTCTAGGCTGCCCTATCTATGTTTCTTGGTAAAATAGATAGGAAAATCCCATTGGAGGAATATTCCATTTAGGATTAGGGTTAGGTCACCATGAACTCATAGAGAAAAATGCTAACGTCTATGAAGTAAATAATGTAGACTGTAGAGTGCTACAAGAAACAGGTACAGAGTGGGCTAAATAGGAAGTTTATTGTCTGGAGAGAGGATAAAAAGCCTTTTTGCCAACTTCCTACCTTGCTCTCCCTCCTTTTGGCTTGTCTTTCTGGAAAAGAGAAAATAAAATCTTCTTCTCCCTGTCAATTTCCTCTTCCCCTTTAAAAATCCCTCCCCAAGAGCCCCACCCCACCTCCAGTCACCTCGGAGGCCACCAGAGCTCCCAACCTCTCTGCCGAATCCACAGAGCTCTGGCAAAGCCTCCCAGCCAGTGGCGATCTCTCCCCAACTCCTCTCTCTGCTACACTTCCTTCCTTCCTTCTCTCCTTCTCATGTCTTTCCTTCCTCCACACTCAGGAAGGGGTGATGGGAGGGGGGAGAGATTGCCAGCGCTGCCATGTTGCTGCTGGTCTTGCTATTCCACATGGGAGAGGTCTGTGCTGGTGAAAGGAAAGCCTTGTGGAAAGCCAGCGCCAGCATCTTGAGTAAAGTCAGCCTGTGGGACAAGACAGCTAGCAGGGACGCCGGACTCCGCTTGTGCGCGTGCCCTGGGGCAAGTGTGGGGCTGCCCTGTGGATTTAATGCTGAGTGCATTCTAGCTTTGATGGACACAATCAGGTTGTAGATCAGCACCCGGTCGGCCTGGGCCAGGCCAAGGTACGGTGGGCCAGTCCTTTGCTCTTTCCAGAGCAGGTCCCCGGGCCGGATGGAACCACATAGCAGGCTGCATCCAGCCCGCGGGCCTTGTGTTTGACATGTCTGATCTAGGTTGCACATGAAACCTTCCCCAGCCCTAGTCCATGGAAGACAATTTTTCTTCTGAAACCGGTCCCTGGTGCCAGAAAGGTTGGGGATCACTCCTATAGATAGAAAATAAAGATTCCCTTTAAGTCAAGCTTGACGGGGACACAACAAGGACACATCCTTGCAGTTTTCTGGGCAACAGGGCAAGAATGGGGTGCTTCTGTTTTCTTCTGGCATTTTTTATTCAATTCCCAGTCTAATCTACAACATCGGGGTTTCATTAGTGGTTCCCCGTCCTAGAATGAGCCAGGAGCAATCCTGCTTAGTTGTTTTTGAAATCAGCTGAGTTTGATTTGTTTTAAATGTCAGTTTCTATCAAAACATGTATTTCTGGTTATTTTTTACCACTACTGTGAATATACTGTTTTTAAAATTCAACTATTCCTAATAATAGCTGATTTTTTTTTCAATTATATTCTCTTCTCTAGTAGATGTTATTTAGTGCAGGTTTTTGACTGAGAATGATGGAGAACAGCAACTTCATTCCTTGCTGCTATTAATGCTACTCTGTTTTGGCAAATTGCCATGAATATTCTTTTTTTTTAAATCATTTCATATATTTCATCTCTTAGCTAATGATGACTGCCCAGAAAAAAAAAGATCCTGGGGTTGTAATGAAGAGATGTACAATCACGTCTTTCCACTGGAAAAGGCTAGATTTCATCTTAAGACTGTCAGAAGACAATGACTTTATATACAAATCTATAGGATGGTGATGTATTAATCTTTCTCAGACAATATGTCTCTGAATCCCAGTTGCTGCTAGTAAAATAAGTGGGAAAGAGTTATTCTACTCATATCTTGCTTGTGGGTTTCTTGGAGGCATCTGTTATATGCCTTGTGCTAACAGAATGTTGGATATTTAGGGGTTTGATCTTGTCCAATATGGCTACTCTTCCATTAAAAGAAACAAACAAAATATTTTATTCCTAATTTTCCCATTTCTGGAATAGTGTGATCAATTACATATTGCCAGCAAAGAAGAAGCATACCAACCAAAAGAAGAGAGGAGATGAATCGGTAAAAAAAATGTGCATGCTGCTATGTAGGTTGAGATACTCCATTAGAACAAAAATATTGTCATCTAAATTGATATAAATGAAGAAAATTGTAATCTGGGAACCTCTGTGGCTACTCAGATTCCAGTCCAGGTTCTAATAGTGGATGGTCAAGAGTGCTTCTGATCTTCTTCCTCATGTCTCCTAAAATTTTGACTGGAATATCCCTTCAAACAGAGAAATATCCTGTATGTATATGAGGCTGCAAGGCCACTTTGCCCTGGGAGAAAATGCTTATTGTTTTAATCAATGTTGGTGTTATTTTAGCAAGTTTGGAAATATTTTCTAGTTCCATGTGATTCACTGCCTGTGAACAGATTTTTTTAAAGAGTAGAAATGGAGGAAGTCTGCCATCCAGACTCTGCTGTTTCAGTTCCTATCCTTGATTTTGCAGGGAAACAAGAAGATTTTGGAGTTGATAATCAATTATTTTCTGTTGAGTTTCAAGAATGCAACATTAGGAGCCACAGGGGTGAGGAGAATTGAGGAGTCTAGTGGGGTCATATATGGACAATCTTTGTTGCAGTTAAAAACTTGAGGCATCATGTGACTGGACCTAATTTTTTGAATTTTTACAGTAGTTGTTAAGCGAATGCTGTAATCATTAAGCAAATGCTGAAGTCATTAAGTGAAAGCTGAATGCTCAAAATAACGCTTTGCAACATGGCCACTGGGGAGATCATGCCTGAGGTCTGTGTGAGTATGGAGAGGAAATATCCAAGAGTTGTGTGTGCTGCATTGTGGAGATTTTCAAGAAACGATTGGACAGTCATTTGTCTGAGATGGTAGGAGGAGCCCTTCCTTGGGCAGGAAGTTGGACTAAAAGCCCCATCCATCCTAGGATTGTATGATTCCCTCTGTGCTTTGTGCCACAATGATTGTGCTTCTCTGTTGTTCATGAACAGACAACTTCCCACATGAAAGACAGAGGCCAAAGGCCACCAAAGGATCAGCCACCAGGCCGTCCAGACACTCCTAAACCCAGGTGAGCTGCCCTCCTTAGGCAGTTTTAGAATGTGGCCAATGTTTACCTGGTTGCCGAGGCAACCAGGTTGGCAGTTTGTCTGAAAAGCCACCAACCAGGGTCCAGCTGCCCATTCTCCCTTCGTGCAGTGAAAGGACCAACAGCTGCTTGGGGTCATGGCTGTACAACGTTTTTTTAGAGTAAGTATGGCCATCTCAGTTGCCAAGAAACTGGCAGTAGTAGGGGAGAAAGTCATGCTTCCCAACTCTTCTGACTGACTTATGCCTATTTCTCTTCTCTTCACAGAACATCTGGAAAAGATGTTCGGCGCTCTTCTGCTGCATGAAGAGCAATGTAGAGGACCTTCCTGAGCCTCCTCACAGGTACCACCCCCTTCTCCTCAAACCCTGAGCACGGTGGGGCAACATTGATGGACTACAGGCTCTCTAAGAGCCTCTCCTCAAGATGGCTTCCTGTCCGCAAGGGGTTGCAGAGGCAAAAAGATGGGCAGGCTGAATGGCGGTTTTAGAAAGGAGAGGCAGACCTAGATGGATAACCTTTGACGTGTCACCTTCTTCTTTTGGCCAGGATTGACAAGGCACAGAAATGGGATGACCAGCAGGGAGAATGGCAGACACATCTTCATGTGTCTGATGGACACAGATCTTCCTCCCAAGGGGTAAGGACACTTCTGCGACATGGCCAGTCAGGGCTCATGCCTCAAAACTGGGTGGGGAAAGGGAGGAATTCTCACTCAGGGGAGCCTGGCTAGCCTAGCAAAGTCAAGAGGAACCTTTTGGATTCGTGGAAAGATCTTGAAGGCTTGGAAAGGAAATACTGGGAAATTCTAAGGAAGAGCCATTCTGAGTCTCTTCCTATCCTATCAGCCAAATTTTCCATGATCTGCTGTCTCTAGTCCCTGTGGTGGAGTGCAGCCTTTCCCTCCTGGGGAAGATAAACATTCCACCACGTGCAGAGGACTTTTAATTTATACCTTCAATGAACAATTGTTACTTGCAGGTTTTGATGGGTGTTGGTGCCACCGCCCGGAGCCCCAGGAAGGAAGAGGTGGTGCCAGTTCTCATTTCAATGAGGTAGGTGTTCTCAGCTGAAGTATTCTGAAGCTCCCCAAAAGGCGACCACACTAAAGCCCTAAAGAGAAGGGCTAGAAGAAACGTTTGCCGAGGGGAGGCATCGCATGGCTACTTTTGATCTTTGGCTCTTCATTTTCTCCCCAGAAATGAGAACATAGCAAAATGGAGGCCGCGGCTCTTAACGATCATGGAGACCTGCACTGAGTCGGTAAGCCCAAACCAGCTCCTCACCATGCAGAAGCCCTTTCTGTGCAGATTTGTTGATATGCCAATATTTGCAATATTTGCATTGTTATTTCAGGATCCTTCAGAAGAAAGCCGACCAAGGGACGTGCAGGAGGAAAGCAGTGCCTGCTTATCAAGGTAGGTAACACCTGGGAGGGTGAAACCTTTGCAGAGGAGAGGCATCTCTGCCCTCTGCCTCTGCTAAAGGAAGAATGACTCAGGGCAACCTCTTTGGCAGGCCAATCCCCTTGGCAGGTCAGCTGGAAGGGTTCTTAGAGCCTCCACATGACCACTTTTTTAAAAAGGGCCTGTGGCTACTTTTGATCTTTGGCCTCTTCATTTCTCTCCCCAGAGAGGAAAAGCAAGAGCACTGGAGGCCGCGACTCCCCCCAATTTTGGAGACCTGCACTGAATCGGTAAGGCCTGAACAGCTTCTACCCTGCTAAAAAAAGAAGCATTGTCTCTGTGGAGATGCCAACAGACAGAATCTTCGCATTGCTCTTTCAGGACGAAGAAGACCAGCCGGCAGAAGAGCAGCTCTCTCCTCCTGAGGAGAAGACGCAGAACTCGGAGGTAAGAAAGTCTTGGCAATGGGACCACGGAGGCTCTCTTGCTGTTGGCACACAGGGCCTGAACGCACCCTATCCTTTAGCAATCTAATTGGGATGCAGAAAGTTTAGGATTTAGACTCAATACTGTCATTTGCAGGATTCGATGGAAGTCCAGGTGGGCTCCGGGATCAACAGCCTGGAGGATTTTGACTCCATTTCTGCCCTCTTGAATGAGGAGTCTGAGGGAAGCTGGGAGCAGGCTGCAGAGGCTTTGGAGGCCACCCTTTCTTCCAGTCCGTGGGTAAGAAAGACAAAGTGTTTTCTCTTGGGGAGGGATAGAGTCCTCTATTCAGTTCTCCTAATCGGAGTGAACTGTGCTGGAGGACTCTGGGCAGTGGAGCAAGGTGACACTTGGCTCTTGGGACAACATACTTAGGCTAACTACAAGCACCCAAGCTCTGGTGTGATTGGTTGATTTACCGCAAAGCAGCAGGGAAGGGCCCACTGCAGTGGACTGGTATCCTAAATGGATATCAACCCACCCTGCTTATCCCTGTCTTTTTTGTGCGTCCTCCTCTCCAGCACCCTGCTGTTTCTGGGCAGGGCTTTAACAGGCAGAGTAGACAGCCTACATTTCTGCAGGAATGGCTGGGTGAGGTGAGGATTGCAACAGAAGCATTGTTCCTGATGGGCATCCCGATTCAATAGGACCTCTTTTAGGAATTCTGAGTCTCTTTTCACTGATGGCTAAAGAGGAATCATTGTCATTCACAGGATTCTCCTGAAGAAGGAGAAGACACGCTGGAGAATCTCAGCAGCCTGGAGGAGGACTCCTTGGATTTCAGTCTCTAATTAAAAGAGGTACCTATTTTAGCCTCTTCGGGGATCACTGCCTTGTTGTGTTGAAGTCTTACAAAGCTCAATGAAGCAATGAACTCTGCCGTGCAGGGTCACCCAAGTCAGACAGGTCATAGTGCAGAGTGCTGACACAACGTGTTCCACTGGAGAAGAAAATGGCAACCCTCTCCAGTATCCTTACTAAGAAAACTCCACGAAAAGTATCAAAAGTAACTCCAGAAAGAACAACGTGTTTGTACTTTTATAGAAAGCATGTGGTACTAATAAAAGCCTTTGATTACTCCCCCAGACGCTTCCCCAGATGCCTCTCCAGATGGCAGATCGGAGGAGGATGAACCAGTCCCAGGTACATTAGGAGGTGAGTTGGTCAATGCCTCCGAGGTGATTCTGAGAACAATGTGTTCATGAGTAAGGGCTTGGAGTAGAATACCTCCAAAGTCCCTTCCAACGCTCGGTATTCTGTTCTGTTATTCTATCTGCATATAGACGGACAGCGATGGACGGCGGAATCAGCCCCAGCGGTGAAGACCTGCGAGGAGCCACTTTCCCGAGAGGAATTTTCTGTGTCTTGTTATTGTTGTTGATTTTGTAATTGTTGTTGTTGATTTTGTAATTGTTTCTGTTGTTGTATTTGTTCTTGTTGTTGTTCTAGTTATTGTTCAGAGAATAAAACTAAAACAGACTTTATATATACTAATTTAGTTTAGGCCTATTTTCATTACACTTTTGTTAGGAATAGGGTGAACTTTTGAATAAATGCAGAATTTCAACAAAATTCTTTGTTTTGTCCCATTTTTTTCCCACTGTTCTATGGGATACAGTGAATTAGTATTCAGTTACAATATTAATGGAAACCTAACACTTCTAGAGGTTACTCAGCTACATACAGGTAGTCCTCAACTTACCGCAATTGATCCCCAAATATATGTTGCTAAATGGAACGTTTGTTAAGTGACTTTTGCCTCATTTTACAATGTTTCTTGCCACAGTTGTTAAGTAAATCACTGCAGTTCTTAAGATAGTAACACAGTTGTTAAGAGAATCTGGTTTCTCCATTGCTTTTGCTTGTCAGAAGGACGCAAAAGCTAATCACATGACCCCTGAACACTGCTACTGTCATAAACATGAGTCAGTTGCAAAGCATCTGAATATTGATCATGTGACCATGGGGTTTTGCAATGGACGAAAGTGTGAAAAAGGTTCTTAAGGAATTTTACAGAACAATACCCAACTTATAGTGGCTAAGAGACCATAATTTCTTGCAAGTCATGCTAGGTTGTTGCTACAATGCATACACAAGCAAAATATGTATATAAGATACACAAATGGGATAGCTAAAATGGAAGGGAAAGTATATGTCCTAACTCACTGATGGCGAATCTTTAAGAGACCAAGTGCCCAAACTGAAACCCCAAACCCACTTATGTATTGTCAGGTACCGGGTGGGTATGACCCATTGGGTGAGTGTGGCCAGTTGGGTGGGCGTACCCCATTGGTTGGGCATGGCTGCGGTGGTAACGACAGACTGGGTGGAACTAAAAAGTTCAATCAATTCCAACTTTGCAAGATTTTTTTCCCCATGAGAAGTTGAAATTGATTGATTGATTGAACCTTTTTCTCTTTTTTTCCACATGGCGGCGGAGGCCTAAAGTGAAAAGGTTTTATAAAACCCAGCTGAAGGCCTAGGACTGGGGCAATGGCATGCGTGCCCACAGGGAGGGCTCTGCGTGCCCTAACTTAGGATTAGGGTTACATCACCATGTATTCGGAGAGCAAAATGGACATCGCCAACAAATTTGGAGTGCTTGGATATGGTTAGGAGGGCATTGACTTTTCTAGCCTGCTCTATCTATCTTTCCTGGTAAAACACATGGGAAAATCTCATTGGAAGAAAATTCCACTTAAGGTTAGGGTTAGGTCACCATGAACTCGGAGAGCAAAATGGACATTGCCAACAAACTCAGAATACTTGGGTATGGTTAGGAGGGCACTGACTTTTCTAGGCTGCCCTATCTATGTTTCTTGGTAAAATAGATAGGAAAATCCCATTGGAGGAATATTCCATTTAGGATTAGGGTTAGGTCACCATAAACTCATAGAGGAAAATGCTAATGTCTATGAAGTAAATAATGTAGACTGTAGAGTGCTACAAGAAACAGGTACACAGTGGGCTAAATAGGAAGTTTATTCTCTGGAGAGAAGATAAAAAGCCTTCTCGCCAACTTCCTACCTTGCTCTCCCTCCTTTTGGCTTGTCTTTCTGGAAAAGAGAAAAAAAAATCTTCTTCTCCCAGTCAGTCTCCTCTTCCCCTTTAAAAATCCCTCCCCAAGAGCCCCACCCCGCCTCCAGCCACCGCTAATGATGACTGCCCAGAAAAAAAAAAGATCCTGGGGTTGTAATGAAGAGATGTACAATCACGTCTTTCCACTGGAAAAGGCTAGATTTCATCTTTAGACTGTCAGAAGACAATGACTTTATATACAAATCTATATGGTGGTGATGTATTAATCTTTCTCAGACAATATGTCTCTGAATCCCAGTTGCTGCTAGTAAAATAAGTGGGAAAGAGTTACTCTACTCATATCTTGCTTGTGGGTTTCTTGGAGGCATCTGTTATATGCCTTGTGCTAACAGAATGTTGGATATTTAGGGGTTTGATCTTGTCCAATATGGCTACTCTTCCATTAAAAGAAACAAACAAAATATTTTATTCCTAATTTTCCCATTTCTGGAATAGTGTGATCAATTACATATTGCCAGCAAAGAAGAAGCATACCAACCAAAAGAAGAGAGGAGATGAATCGGTAAAAAAAATGTGCATGCTGCTATGTAGGTTGAGATACTCCATTAGAACAAAAATATTGTCATCTAAATTGATATAAATGAAGAAAATTGTAATCTGGGAACCTCTGTGGCTACTCAGATTCCAGTCCAGGTTCTAATAGTAGATGGTCAAGAGTGCTTCTGATCTTCTTCCTCATGTCTCCTAAAATTTTGATTGGAATATCCCTTCAAACAGAGAAATATCCTGTATGTATATGAGGCTGTAAGGCCACTTTGCCCTGGGAGAAAATGCATATTGTTTTAATCAATGTTGGTGTTATTTTAGCAAGTTTGGAAATATTTTCTAGTTCCATGTGATTCACTGCCTGTGAACAGATTTTTTTAAAGAGTAGAAATGGAGGAAGTCTACCATCCAGACTCTGCTGTTTTGGTTCCTATCCTTGATTTTGCAAGGAAACAAGAAGATTTTGGAGTTGATAATCAATTATTTTCTGTTGAGTTTCAAGAATGCAACATTAGGAGCCACAGGGGTGAGGAGAATTGAGGAGTCTAGTGGGGTCATATATGGACAATCTTTGTTAAAAGGGTTTAGATGTGTCCAATTTTGTTTTGCCAATCCCAAAAAGAGATGATGTGGCTGTTTGGGATAGTTGAAACAAAGACCCATTTCAAGGGATAAAATTAATTTAGCCTTCATCTTCCAATATTCTTCACCTTTGACATCAGTTGCCATATGGGCATTTTTTTGGAAACTGGATGATACGAATTTGTTTGTTTATGTATCTTTCTGCATAGCTATAGTTCCCTGAGCACATTCCTTTGATGCCCAATCAATGAGAAATCACAACAGTAATTAACAACAATAAGACTGAGTGGGGGGGGGGGAAATTGTCTTCTGTTCAGATAATTTCCAGTGAAACATTGGGGAGAGAATTTAGTAGCAATACTAACAAGAATTTATTTATTTATTATTTGTGGTTTTGTGTATTTGTTTGATTTTATTTTTATCCTCCATTTATTACTTTAGAAGTAACTCAGGGTGACAAACATTTATAATGCTCCTTCCTCACTCTCTTTTTCCTCACAACAAGAATCCTGTGAGGTGGATTGGGCTAAGACAGAGTGACAGGCCCAAAGTCACCTTCATGCCTGAGGCAGGCCTGGAACTTACAGTCTCCTGGGTTTCTAGGCCAGCACCTTAACTACTACACCAAATTGGCTCTCAGTTTTAAGCCTTCCAAGCAGTGGTGGGATTCAAATATGTGAACAACCAATTCTCTGTGTGGATGCCACGTCTAGAAGTCCATTCTGGGCCTGGGCAACAAAAAAATTAGCTACTGGTTCTGCCGAAGTGGTGCAAACTGGCTGAATCCCACCACTGCTTCCAAAGCAAAAGTCCAGCTCATTTTAACCAATGCACCATCTCATTTTCAAAACCCTTAAAAATGGTTTTTTAATGTGATGCATCACATGCCTTTGAAAAGTCATTTGTTCAGCAGCATGATAAACCTTTCAATACATCTGTATGGATTTCAGATTTTATTCTGTATTTGTCTGATTACTCAGGGGACCTCACTCCATTTGTATCTGAGATGTCTTTTAAAACCCAATAGTGTAAGAAAATCTGTTACTTTAAAAAAAAAATCTATCAGATGTTGTGCCAAGATTTCATTTTCAGAATAGTTGCCGAGGATTTGTTCTTGGGTACTAATGATATATTTCTCATTAATAAATTAGGCCAAACACAACTTCCAGTGAGGATTCATGGAGAACTGGACTCCCTAAAGGAGTGCGGACAACAAGGGGTAGGATTTAACCGAAAAAATGTGCCTGCACCAGGTAAAACAAAAGATTTTTATCATAAATGTTTTGATGATGAACTTTTACAACCTTTACAAATCACGATGTCTTACGGGGAGGAAATATGCCAGAAAGTTGGAAAGAGAAATATATCATTAATACCCAAAGAGGGACAAGATTTGACTTTAATATGAATCTATTGACTGATATGGTTGTTGAATACTGGCTACAAGTTGTTCACAACAATTCTAGCTGAGAGATTGAAAAACAAATCTTCAGGAATTTATTCATGAGGATCAATGTGGCTTTTTATCTAAAAGGCAGTTAAAGGACAATGTTAGAAATGTGTCAGACATTTTGGAATATTTGGAGCAATACAACAAAAAAAAACAAGCCATGTTGATTTTCTTAGGTGCAGAATCTGATCATTTGAACTGGGCTTCCTTGTTCAAGGTTTTGGAAGATACAAATTTTGGAGAGAATGTTATAAAATGGGGAAGATCAATTTACACTTTATAGAAAGCACAGATAAAGGTTAATGGAGATCTAATAAAATCCAGTGAGATACCAAAAAGAACAAGACAGGGATGCCCACTTAAAATACTGAATAGAGATATAAGAGAAGAGGATTGTGGAAGTAAAGATTTTAAAAGAATCTTATAATAAGAGTTTTGTTGGTGACTTGGTGCTGGGTTCTAACCCTCTAAGGCAGTGGTTCTCAACCTGTGAGTCAGAACCCCATTTGGGGTCG